AAAAGCAACCTGAACTCAATCACTCTTACTGTCACTTGTAAAAGCCTGAACCCACTCAACGCTTTTCCCAGATGTCCTGAAGTGAGGGGAAGAGAGAGAAAAGGGGGGAGGAGACTCCCACAGAGATGAAGGCTGGCAAGTCCTGACACCTGCTCCATGACCCTGCCCCAGAGGGTGGCTGCAGGCGCTCAGCTGTCTAGCCACAGATGCTGTGCTCTAGGGAGCCCCGGACAGAAGGGACCGTGTACAAAAGACAACGGCCATCTTGGCACGTGACTGAAAACTGGGAGGGCCTCCCTGCAGGCTTGACACTATGGAAGACCAAACCTTTGCAGAGTTTTTTGGGATGTGGGGGAAGGGGGATGAGAGAGGCAGGAAAGATAAAACAAAATAGAATCTGCCAGCCCCGATGGCTCTCCTATGGCTGTTGGTGGTGGAATGAAATTCAGAGTCCTTACACGATGACCTCCATGTTTAATCTTTCCTGAGCCTGGCATCCTTTGGCCTCTCTGATGAACATTATCAACATGCACTGATCTTATTTATGACCATTTGCTTGAGTATTTTTGAATCTCTTTTTCAAAAATACCTTCCATTAATAGACATTTTACAACCTGATTTGCCTGTTTTTGAAATGTTTTACTGTGAAAAACCTCAGATGTACACAAAATTACAAAGAATGGTAAAACAAATCCCCACACACCCATCCTCTAACTTCAACAATTATCAACATTTTCTGCCAATCCTGTCTCACCTGTCACCCCAGGTATTCCTCCCCTGCCCCTGGGGGTATTTTAAGCGAACGAGACATCATATCATTCTACCTGTGCATACATCGGTAAGCACCTTTCACAGGCAGGACATTTTATAAATATGGAATCACAATGCCTTTACCTCACTTAACAAAGGCAAACGACAATTCCTTAATCTCAAATCCAAGTTATACGAAAAATTCCGATTGCCTTAAAACACGCCACTTATACATAGTTGGTGTCGTTCCATCACGATCCAAAGTCCACACGCTACATTTTGGAGCCTCATTTTCTACCGACAGGGGAGAGGCCACACCTACACTTACATCCTGGTGCACGAATGCACAAGCGTAGTCTCCTTTGCGGAAAACACCTTGGGAACACAGAATCTGCAGACCTGTACAAGCTCTCCACCACAGAAGATTTCATTCCTAGCCACCCGCAAAGCAAAAGCTTGAGCAAACCCTGTAAGGCAACAGCCAAATAAACTTCATTGAAATGATTTCTCCTTAAATCGCAGAGTTAGTAGATTCCCTCCTTCTCTAATTGTCAGCCACATGGTTGTATTTTGAAGTATTTAGGGCACCTGCCACTTGGGCTGTTGGGGTTTTATATTTATGCACACAGAGCAGCCTGTTAGGAAAGTATTGATTTTTCTACAGCAGTTACAAGATGCTGTGTTTGCAAAGTGGAAGAAAGAGCCGCTTTATATTTAGTAAGAGTGTCAGTTCCACTAAAAATAGAAAGAAAAATGTAACCTCGCGGAGCGATGAAACCCAAATGTGGGCCATGGTGGTGAAGGCTAGCCCTTTCTTTACAGACGATTCTCGCAAGTGCTGGTACGAATGTACAAATGAGGGGGGTGGGGGTGAGTTCATGCCTTCTTCCCTCTCTTGACAGAACATTTTTAGTCCTTCAATTTAGAAAATGAAAATACTGAGGAATAACACTTAAGGAAAGGCGCTCACGTATCACTACTCGGTCTTTACTCTTCAAAAATGAATTGTTTTATCAAAACCACCAGGGGATACCACCTCACACATATGAGATGGCTAATATATATATATGTATATATATATATAAACCCCACAGAAAACAGCAAGTGTTGGCGAAGATATGGAGAAACTGGAACCCTGTGCAGTGTTCGTGGGAACAGGAGGTGATACAGTGGCTATGGAAAACAGGATGGTGATATCTCAGAGCTTAAAAACAGAATTACCATCTGATCCATAACTCACAGGTAAATCTAGGAGATATACTAATCGGATTTGAAAATCCTACAGCTTTATATTTAAAAGTAGACTAATCACTAAATTGCAGGTGCCCTATTTCCTTGTCCTCAACAGAACACAAAACCAAGTTATTTCTAGCATATGGAAGATTTCCCGCACATCTGAACTAAACACCAATGACCAAAATCTGACTTAAAAATGTTGTCCAGCAAAATCTGTTTCCAAATAGACCAATTGGAGAGTTCCAAGTGGCAAAAAGTGTATTTAGTGACTTTGGGCATTTCCTCTCCTCAATTTATTTTTTAAAACTTGGTGTATTTTGTTTCTATTAAAAACGATTGAGGACCTTGATTTATGAAATCATAAAAGCTTACTTGCTCCACTAAAACGTGAATTCGTCTATATCTAGCTTCTTCCTGTTCCACATACATTGGAGGAAAAGTTTAAAATATAAGACTTAATAACTAAGCTCTTAACGGGTATGGGCCATTTCTTCTTGTATCGCCCCAAATAACTTACAAATACCCAGTGCTTCGTGAACTATGTTAAACTGAATTCACTAGTCTGTTCCATTAAAAAATGAAAATGTATAATTAGCTGAAAAAAATTCTCCTTTCGTATTGAAAATACTAAATTTATAGGCAAACCACATTATAACTAATGTATTTTGACATTCCCAAGTAACAAGCTGACTTAAGGTCCAGAACAGGGGTTCAGTTAGTACCCTGAATGCTTACTTTCTCTTATCACTTTATACACATCTATGTTGGGAAGAGGCTTTACCACTGCAGAACACTTTCCAATTCTCCTGGCTATACAAGAGCAATGACCTTTAGAATTCACCTGATGTTTCCGGAAGTCTCAGAAAGGTCAGCACACAACTCTGAGGACATCGCACAGAAACCCAGGAACGGAGCAGAAAGGGATCCTCACCCTCCTAAACTGGGTCATGCTGGGATCTGTAGTTCAGGGAGGATAATGAGCCTTTTCTAACGGAGCGCTAGAGCTGGGCTGGGCTAGTCTTTCGGGCTGGGAAACCAGAGAAAGGGGGTAGTGTTGTCTGAAGCAGTGCTTTTCAACCTGTAGCCAAGTGGAAACTCAGGAGGTTGTACCCCACTCTCAGAGGTTCTCAGAGATTGATTCTGGGGGTCTGGGGCAGAACCAGAGAATCTGCGTTCTGTACAAGCTTCTGGGTGATGGGTGCTGCTGGTCTACAGAGTCCCCCCATTCCAGAACTGAGGAATAATGCATTATGGGGATCAGCATGCTCCACAGGGTTTTCACATTCTCTAGGTTTCTGAGGAAAACAAAGAAGTACTTTCACCTAAAACCCAGAGGCTTAGAAATAGTTTTTGTTTTGAAGCCAAAACGGAAGAGAACAGTTTATGACATGTGCAGGACCATCTTCAGGGAGACTCGAGGTTAAGCCGAGGGCCACGGGCCTAAATGCACAGCTACCCTGCCCTGGACAAAGGTTCACGTGGAAATAACCAGACGTGGCAATGCGAAGATTTATCCAGAAGAGGAGACTGCCCTGTTCCGAACATTCTGGTAACCCTGACGACTGTGTCCTAGTCTTCTCATTTGAGCTCAGACAAAAGCCGAAACAACCATGACAGCTTTTCAAGGTATCATTCCTGGGAAAACAGCATGCTAAATTAATGCCAAATCCAATCTGGACACTCCGAGGGCCTCGGTCGACTTTTGAAAAACAAGGACACAAAACATCCACAAAAACCTGAACATGGAGAGGAGCACACTTCAAATAAGACAAAACTGATCGTATTTTGGAGCTGGATCTAAAGACACATCATCTTAGACAGCTGGAGGCTGCACTCAAGGTGCTAACTCACACTTTAATTTTTTTTCCTGAAATTACCAGCAAGTATCAAACATTGCGCTCAATTATCTATTACAAGGCTTCTTTTGAGAATTATACATACCTGGGTCAAAAATCACTCTGTAACATGAATGTAAGTAAAATAATAATGGTTCTATTTTCACTTACAGAAAACATACCCTGCCACCTCCAAGCTGTGCTTGGATGAGTCCAACAGGAAAGATACGTCCAGGTCATTACACGTTCAGTTCAGTTCCGATAGGTCCATCACTTCCATAAATCACCAGGAGGAATGACAGTGCAGTGGTAGTAAACGAATCCTACCAACTTGCATAGTTAACATACCATATTAAATAAGTAAATAGCAACCCTACGCTAATGAGATTTTTAAGCAGCTTATTTTCCAAATATTATTCTCTTCTATGTCACCATACCTGGATCATCAATTTGCTGGAATAATGTGCTCTGTCTTCTGCGGCCGACTAACAAAAATGAGTCTAACAGTTTCTCAGCAACTGCGGACGCTTTTCACTCCTTTGGCTATACTTCTTATGACATAGGTCAATGGTTTCAAGTTTTTTACGACTAGTGATGTTCAAGTCAGTGTCTTGTGAAGTTTAATCTAAATCTGTTATGATTCATAGCCTCAATTCAGAGTTCTAGAAATCCTGAGTAGTTACAGTCCCCGATTCTGAAAGGTTAGCTCATTGCTAAAATGGTGTGTATTACTGGAGCAATACTAGATTATAAAATCTGTCATTTGATAATAATGAAACACACAAAGAGAAGGGGATTTTTCAGACAGACACTAATTTAAAGAATGAGTTGTCACCCTATACAGTGCCAATGTGTCAGGTGCTTTTCACAGCCATCTTTATTGATTTAGACATTTGGTTTCAAATGCTGTCACGGGTAAATTGCCCTTCTTCATTTGTACACTTAAAGGTATAGTGATGAGCTTGGAAAATGGAGGTGGCTTCCCTTTTCATCACTTACCTAGGTTTTGCCACATGCTGAAAATTTCACAGCCCATTGTCACCCGCATGTCACCATACCTGAAACGGAACAGAAACCAAACCTGATCCAAAGCCCCCAGAGCAAAGAAGTGTTTGTGTCTAGGAAACAATCTATCATTCTGAGTTAACAGGCAAAATGTTTTTTAATTAAAGGTGTTTAATGTACATGTCGGGATGCCTCTAATTCATAGCGTCATATAAATCCTTCAATAAAACCGATTCATTTCATAATTACCACTTCTGTAGTAATTTTGAATTCTGAAAGACTGAGGACAAAAAAAAGTTTACATAAATTCCAAATATTGAAATTTCCAGAAAACACTGCTTCTTGTCCTCTTGGTCATCACCTCCCCACTGTAATTTCCAGTTATGGACATCTGGCGTATGAACCATTGGAACGTAACACTCTTTAGAAGGGGCCGCGGTGGATAGGCCTCATGTTCCCACCTGATCATATACTGGTACTTACTTTTCCAACACCTTTTTCTTTTTGGAAGGTGTGAACATCTCCAATTGCAGACACAACTGGTTTATAAAGATGACTGCGAGGTAAAAGTAGGAATCCCAGATCTAAAACAAGAACAAAATATTTAAATGCTATGGTGTTACAGAAATATGTAGGCAAAGTGACATAATGTCTTAGATTCAGTTCAAACGTGGTAAATGGATGGGGGTAGAACTGATATAAGATTGGCCCTGAATTGATAATGCGGAAGGCTGAATATATGTGCCAGGGGGTTCCTTGTACTATTCTCTCTCCACCTTTATGTCTGCTTTACATTTTCTACAACAAAGAAGTAAACTAACCACATACATACTATCTTTTTATATATTGCTTCAACGTTGTATCCCTCTGGTATATGCTAAACAGTGCATGTTTTGTTTCTCTTATAACCTGTCTATATGTCTCCAGGGAGGCAGTGGTATAAGATGGATTACTTTATTCCTGTATGAATTCATTTTTAGAACTTCTTTTAATGTAGAACTCAAAAAATGCATATATTTTTTTGGATATGCTAATTGCTTTAAATTCAGACAGTATATATAAAAATTCCCTGCCCAGACAAATGTTTTGAGTCAACGTTTTCTTATCCCCAAAATAGCATCAGAAAAAGATCAGAATAAAATTCCTGGCAACAAACTTAACCAAAATCATGTAGGACATAAAAAAAAGGAAACTACTTCTCTATAAAATTCAAAATAAATAGGAGAGATATTATGAAGGATTAATAACTTTCATACATAAAGAGCTCTTACAAATAAAAATAAACATAAAACCACGGCAAAACAGGGAACAAAAAAGGTCCAAAGGCAACTCACAAAATATGAATTTTAGTTACTAACTGGTCAATAACTAATAATTAGTAAGAAATGCAAATTAAAGCAAAAAATATTTTTCTTCATGAACTTGTCAAAAACAAACAAAAAGAGGCCTCTTCCAGAGTTAGTGTAGATACAGGCAAACGAATATGATTGGTGCAGCCTTTCTCGCAACAATCCCACTTACATTTATCCAAAGAAATAATTAGGGATATGTGCCAAGTTTTATTTTGTAAGAATGTACACAACAGAGTAATTTATAAGAACGAAATAGTAGAAACAACCTAAATATTAAAAAATAGAGCTCTGATTATGAAGTTTTGATGTTTATTATAAGGTATGATATAAAGAAATATTATGCAACCATTATAGTTACATTGGTTTTTATGTATTTGTGATATTTTTGTATTTTCCAGTTATCCAATAAGGAAATTTTATTAAATGCTTAACTTGGAAAATGTTATTTAAAAGAGAATAAGAAAAATGATGCCAAAAAATGCAGATATCATTAAAAAGGGAAGCTAAGACGAGCACTACTCATCTCTGCCATTTACCATTTAAAAGCTAGAATATCAAGAAGTCTTAGAGACCCAGGCATATCACATTACATTACAGATGGACAGAGAGTTTTGCTCTAACGAATCTTACTAATCTTTTTTTTTCCTTTTCATTAATTTATTATTTTTAAATGGGAGATAGAGAAGTAAAGGAAGTAATGGGTTTACTTTGTAAATGTTTTCTTCATATAAACTCTATTTTAAGATATGTCTTAAAAACACTATGTTCTAAGTACCCTGGGACATGCATGGGGATCACACAGAAAAGAACAAGAACTAAAATTCATGGCAACAAAAAAGAACTGTTTCCTGTTGAACACTATAATTTCCACCAGGTTGAGAAGCATAATTATAGCCCTAACTTGTTCACTAATGTATGAAAACTCTTCTAATATTATTCACAATTAAAACTAAAATGGCCCACGATTAATTTGAGGTAGCTGGAATACATTTATTTTCCTATTATTACCGGAAGGAAAATACGTAACGTAATTTCCTGAGTACAATGCAGGATAGTCATCTAAATAGATCCTTACTTACCTTATAATCAAAGTTCTCATTTAAGAAGTTCTTACGAAGTGCATCTGACAGGTACAGAACTGTTGTAATAATAACACTAATGATAAAAAAAGAATACATATTAAGTTGGAAACTTCACATTAATGAAAATCATTTATTAGATAAGAATAAAAAGCAACGAAGATAAAAGAAAACCTTCTTCAGTAAGCCTGTGGAGCAATATTACATAATTCATATTCGAAATAAAAAAGAAAAGCAATGCCAGGCAAAAAAACCCCCCAAAAACAAAGAAAAAGAAATCTATCACTGAAGTCAGGTTCTTTGTAATGACATACAGAAACATTTATGGCTCCATGACTCAGACCCAAATGCATGAATCTCTTAATGTTTTATAATGCTTTTATTAATTTCTGAACGAAGCCAATGATTGAACACAAATATAATACCCCATATTTGATTTACATGGAGGAAAGCCACACTTTTTTAAAAATACAGGGGAAAAAATGGAGCCCAAAGATGAAATGGGGAGGAGAAAATGATAATTCTATCCTTTTTTAGTAGGTCTCTTCTCTGCTCCCCTCCGTTTCAGGTACCAGGGGACATACGAGAGCTATGGGGATCAGGTTCCCTCGCTGTGGCGACAAGACGCCCAGTAAAGACACAACTACAGGCTGCAGAGGCTGCCTGTACCCCAGCACTACGCTGTGGGAAACTGACAGTGAGCGTTACAGGAATTCAGAGAAGTGGGCACCTCAGGGCTGGAGGAATTAGGAAAAGCCTGCCAGGGGTTGCACATGCGGCCAGATGGACCCTGCGAGGGAGATGAGAACAGGATTTGGTAAGCATTCGTGATTAAGTCTAGAGTTATGTAACTTGTTCAAAATCTGCTCCTGTTTGGAGCTGTAAGAATATACATGCAAAATTAAATGCATTTTCAATTGGTTCATTTGACGTTAGCTACAGTATTAGAGCGAAACAAGGTAGGCCATGCCCCAAACTACTGTCAGCTGACCCCAGTGCATAAATGGCTGACACTGAAAGCCTCATTGGTCTTTTCTGAGACGCACGCCCACCGGAGTGCTGGTGACATGATGAGGCCCAGCTCTCATCACAGGATTTGGAATGAAGGACACAGGTGTATGACCGTAGGTAAAACACAATAAAACAAAAAAAAAGTCACCCCGCCAACGTCGCACCTTCATTATCCTACTGGCAAAACATAGACTGGAAGAACATTTACTAGTGAGAAAAATATCTAGAGTCTTTGAAGGACATAAACGTTCATTTTTGTTACCTGCTGGAAAACTAACAATTACAGCCTTCCCGTGGGGGTGAGGGAACATTTTCAAGGCAACAGGGTTGGAGGGTTGGATGTCGGCGCTGAAGGCAAAGAAAGGGGAAAGGGAAAAAGCCGCCATGTCATGGGCAGCTGCCCCACCAGGACTGGGCACTGCAGGCACGCATGTACGCTGCGGGGCATTTTCATCTTCCGAGGCATCTTCCTATGAAAGCTGAGTATCAGCAAAGCCTACGCGACTGAGAGGCATGGTAGGCGTCTTTGGCCCCCACAACGGAGATGTGAATTTCATATCAAAGAGGTAAGTCGCCTACAAATAGCAGAGTAAGTGGCAATTTTCCACCGACACTGGCAAAGTCAATGATGATAATGAAGAAATCATCAAAGGTCCCCAAGGAGTTGACTCAAATCTTACTGAAGGAAATGAAAGCTTAATTATCAGAGAATAGAATGCGACCAGGCAAGGAAGCGGTTCTTTGCTCAGCATCTAGCAGAAAATCATTGGACCTCGAAGTTTAGAGAAGCAAAATGTGCATCCTTAATACGTGGTTCTAAGCACAGCCTTCCTGCTTAGGCATTCAGTGCAGAAATCCACAGTCTCTCTACACCTGAGCTTTGCATAAAAAGCCACCTCCGGCCCACAAGCCCAGCTTGGATTTTGGTCCAGAAACAACCCCTAATGTCGGGGGAAACATGACACACCTGGGATTTAGATTATTGGGCCTGATGTCCGTGGAAGGAGCCAGCAGACGCAATCTCCAAGTGAGAGGCTAGCCCATGGCAGAGGTCACCCACTTGTTATTTAGATGCTGGCTGCCACACGCACAGACACAACGCTCAGCTTCTAGAACTGCCCTTGAACTAGATGGAGCAGTGCCTCTCAACCTTTCCTGGGCATCTGCTGGGCTAGTTCAAAGCAGAAGGTGACTCAGCAGGCCTGGGGTGGGGCCTACTGACCTGCATTTCAAACAAGTTCTCTGGTGATGCTGATGTTGCTGGTCCAGGAACTGCACTGAGAATTAAGGCCATNCCCCCGCACGCACCCCCCCACTCCCAACCGCCCTTTGAAGAGCAGGGCTCTAGACAGTTAGTAAAACATTCCAGCAAACTCTGCTCTACATTCTCCTGGCTTCTAGAATTTTCAGCCAATGGCTATTTTTGTGGCTCTTCAATAGGGCTTGCCTCATCCTCTTACCAAGGCTGCCTTATCATGAGGCCCAACAGGCACAGGGCCCAGGGCCTTTCAGGGGCTTTGGGAGATGCTGAGCTCTGAAACAGTGTTACAGGATTAAAAACAAAAACTAAAATGAAAACTAAAAAATGGTTCATCACATGTCCACAGAATGCAGCATTATCAATTTCATTAATTGTCCAATTTAATATTCATGCAACTTCTATTACACTAAAAAAAATTGCAGGTTACTTTTTATAACTTCACGAGAATTCCTAAATATACAGAAATGCTGAGAAATCACAGCCAATTGGCATTAACTGATTTATTCATGGGTCAATATTTAAAAAGCGAAATGCAAAAACTGTTCATCCCTCTTTTTTCTTCAGTTAAATAGATCTAATGTGGCATGCGAGTCTACTTAATGTGTTTGCTGTGAAGACGGGCAAGACCTCTAAAAATAAGACTTCCACATGGCTAGAAAGATCTTAACAGGACTGGACTTCAACTGCTTTTCATTTATGCTTATAGCATTCAGCCCAAGTCACAGAGGCGCCTCCTAGAGCTTTAGATGGTAACTCAGCGCTGAGTCGGTTTCCTGGCACCCGGGTCCCCAAGCCACTGAATGCATTGTCACATCCTGGCTCCTTCATTCTAGTGGACTCCTGTGGTGTTTAGGGATCTTTCTGCACTTGTTCCGATTTATCCAGGAGCACGTGGCTCCTTTGGTCTTATTCTTTTACTCATGACTCAGTTTCTGAATATAGGGACATTTCAAATCTCAGTGCTTCCATTCAATAGCCAAAAATGGTTTGCAATCTGTTACTATAAATAGTCAAATTACTGATATCTGCCAGAAAAATGCAGGCACAAGGCTTACTTCTGAAAGCCGTAATCTACGGGCACAGCATGAGAAAACGTACATAAAAGAGGACTGGTACACAGGAAATCAGTCATTTCCTTTGATTTTTCAGTTTTCCAGTTGCCCCTACATTCCGCGGTGTTGGGAGTATCTCCAAGCTCGGCTATTTCTCCCCTATAGACACCTCATCTCCTATAATCCGTCTTTTTGAAAACTACTCCAACCTGATAATCACTCAAGACCCATTTCTCTGCTCTTTTTTATAACAAAACTCTTCTAAAGAGCTGCCTAGAATGACTGTTTTCACTTTCTCAACTCCCACCTGTTCTTCCATCCCCGCTGATAAGGCTTTCTCACCTCCTACCACTCCGCTGAGAGAAACCACACTTGTCAAGGTCACCAGTACCTACACCAAGCCCCGGGCCAACTGTCAGTCTCGCCTTCCCCAGCTCCCAGCAGCTGTTAACAGCCCTTCCTTCACAGGATCTGACGCTCTGCTGGTTCTCATCGCATATCCTGGCTGTCCCTCCTACCCTCCTTTGGTGGGTGCTTCTGCTCGTCCCGAGCTTTAACGTTCTGGCACGTTCCAGGGCCCAGTCCTGTCCTTCGGTCTGTTCCGTCTGCACTTCCTGGGTGCTCTCGTTTAGTTCCAGGGTGTCACATACTGTCCACCTGCTGGGACCCTCGAACGTGCATCTGAGCCCTGCCCTCTTCCCTGAGTCCCATGCACGCATGTCTGGCCCCCCTTCCACATCCACCTGGATATCTAACAGCATCTCATGCTGTGTTCCACATCATATTCTTCACCTCGTCCACAACGCGGCTCCTCTCTCAGTATTTCCCGTCTACGTAATGGCACCATCAGCCGTCCTTAAGTTCAGGCCAGAATTCCAAGGGCCAGCTTCAATTTCTTTTCTCTTCCATTCACATCCCGTCATCTGCAAGTCTCGTCATCCCTATCTTCAAAATCGATCTTCTCGCCACCGTCATTGCCACCCACCTGTTCAAGCCATCCTCATCTCTTACCTGGTTTGCTCCTGACTGGCCCCTGCTGGCTTCTCTTTTGTGTCTCTGTCCCCCAAGGTCCGGGCCCTGTGCTCCTCTTCTGACCTCATCTCACCAGTTCCTTCCGTCCTCATGCTTTAGCCACACTAAATCGTTCAGCTCCTTGAATGTGCCATCGTCAGTGGCCACAGGACCTTTCTCTGTGCTATTCCTACTGACAAGGACGTTCTTCCTTTGCTGTTCACCTGTTAACTCCTGCTTTTCCTGTCAGCTCATTTTCACCCCCTCATGAAAGTCCCTCCAATCCCAGTCCAGAACGAAGCTCCTTTCAGAACATGTCACAGAGCCATGCTCTTTCTTTGTGGCATTTAGTTTATACATTAGGCACTGGGAAATATTTGCAGGATGAATGGGTCCATGAAGGAATGGATGACTTCCCCTAAGAACCTTTGATTGCATACATCACTTATTTACTATACAGGTCTCATTTGAAAGTTAAAGGTAATAGTCGACTAAATAATTCAGTGTTTTTGGTGGGAGAAAAAAAATACAAAAGAAAATGTATGCTACGTTTGAAGCCAACATGCACAAGATAAAATAAGGGCCTGAAATTTCAATGGCGGGGCCAACGAGTTTTGACTTTCCTCAGTAAGTAAGTCTGTTATAAGATTCATCTCCTTGAAAATATGTATAAAGCTGTGACTTTATTTTTGTACTGTATTTTGCAACATGTATGGGAAGGGGGTGGAGAGAAACTAGTCTCCAAGTGTCCTGTATTTTTGGTACTTCGTTTTCATCTCCCTTATGCTCCATCTTTCTTGGACTGAGCACTTGTCCTCATCCAAAACATCCACCAAGAACTTCCCAGGGGCACAATACAGCTTTGCAAGCAAACAAGAGAAGTCACGCTTCCTGTCCTCGTGAAATTTCACCTGGAAACACTGTCACCCAATACGAGACATTCAGGTGGCACGAAACAAAAGGTGTGTCTGGTCACAGCTTTTGGTTGAACTTCACACGAAGCACGGAAGCTACAGAATTGGGGACAACACCGTATATGAATGAAACTTAAGGGCATTTAACTCCCTTGAAAACACAGGGAGAAAGGACCAGCACGTAAAATAATATGTATTCTGAGGGCTGAGCTACTCAGTTGAGTTCAAGGGTGGGACAAGGGCGACTTCAGCTAGTTACTATCAATTTGAGAAAAGTGGGCAGGAAAAGTGGGAGTTGGCATTAAAATGCTTCTGGGAGGGGCCCTGATCAAATATCTGTCTAAGAAAGTTAGCTGCATGAAAAAACAGGTCAACCTCAGACATGCAGATCTAGCTCCTGCTACTTGCGTCTACAGTTGGGCAAAAGGGAACTTTTTCTTTCCAGTGTATGCTCTTTAACATATACAATGGGTCTTCGACATATTTCAGAAATGCAGTTTTCTCCCCATATTATGGAAGTTGATATTTTCTTTACAGACACAGCTCAAGTAGTTGAAGGCTTACTTCTGGACTCTACTGTATTTATAAAGCAAGAGAACATCTCATATGCTTTCGTCATTTGAATGGGAGATGGCGGATAAGAGGGAAGGAGGCGGAGAAGAACAGCAGAGGGCAGGTGCTTCCCCAGGCCCTGGAGTCCTGTCTAGAGAACAGGCAGGACCTGCCACTGTCAGGGGAAAAGCAGTGGTGAGTCCTATTGGCACCGCTCGGGTGACAATGGGATGACATTGCTGCATTTAGTGAAGGTTAGTGGCTGTTTTTCTTGGGTTTGCCATGGAAGCAATGTTCTGTGTAGATGTATTACATAGAGCTCATCGCAAACAAAATCACATTCCTCTTTGGTTAACACTGTAGATGACAACCTTGAACCCAATGTGTTTTCTCAAGAGCAGGCTGTATACGTCCAGCTCTGTCACCCACTTGTGTGACCACAGGAGTAGAGCTTTTGAGGTGAGGCAGAGAGAGATGGCATTTCATATCAAAAAAACCTCCTGGTTGTCATGGTTTTCAGGAAGCTCAAGCAGAGCCTGTGTACGTAAGGAACAAAATGTCAAATTTACTTTCAGTTTGAATTTCTGCCATTGAAAATTCTAATTCAAGTCAAAATATCCCTGCGCACACGGGGCAGGCAGAATGACCCAAGGATGATGCTGTGTGCTGATGTCAGCAGTGGGACCCCTTCCGCTCTGGCCCCCTGGCTCCCCATGGAGTCCTCTCAGGCCCCCAGAATGTTTGAGCTCTGGTAATAAAGCCAGATATGTGACCAACAGCTCCCACGGAAATGTGTAGCATCTGGACGCCCAGATGAATAGATACTTGATTCTACTCAACAGATATCAAACTAAATATGCTAAACGCTAAAGAGAACTATTTCAGGAGTCTCAATTAGTCTTCAAAATGGAAAAGCTGCTTCTGAACTTATGTAAAACATAATATGCCATATTTCACTATTTGCTACTTCACAAAGTTTTTATCAAATCATTTTAACACCTCCATGTCTATAAATGTATACTGCAGCACCAGCCATATTAGGCATGTCTAATGCCTAACCAATAGGCAAAACCAAATCCTATATTCCTGGGGCTCTTACCACCATCTTACCTGGGCACCTTGGGGGGACCCAGGGTGTCTCTGACCTGTGGACAGATACCTGGAGAACCCAACCAGGCTGTTGGGGGTTGGAGAAGAGAAAGGAGAAGCATGCAAATATGGACTGGAAAGTAAGAGTGCTTACGAAATGGGCTAAATTACAAGTGTGCAAGTAAAGACCAGGCCAGTTTCCTAAAGAACTTAATCTGCATTCTGTAACCCTGAAACGTCAGAGACAGGACGGAAGGGAGCAGATCAGCCCGGGACACTCCCGCTCGGGAACGGCTCCTGCATTTCTGACTGCCCCCAGATGCTTTCCTCACTCCTATCCCTTCAAGCATTGACCTCAGGCTGCTTTTTTGCTTGATGTGCTTACCACAAGCTCATTTCAGCACCTCTGAGATTCAACTTTACATCGGAACTCCCCCAAAAGTCTGCCTGTAGTTCAGAGCACAATTCTCAACTCCCCACTGGCCATGTCACTTAGATGTATAAAAGGCACACGTCCGAGTCGGGGTCAGATGTGATTCCCAGCACTCAGCACAAGTAGTCTGCTCAGTTAAAATGAATGAAGAAACATCAGAAATGGTTCAAGTGTCCAGCAACAGGGCTGGTTAAATAAACTATGGTACATCCATTCAGTGGAATATTATATAGCTATAAAAGAAAAAATTAAGAAATAAAAACAGGAAAGGAAGATGGGCTTTCTCTGTATCAATGAGGAAAAGCTGCCAGGATTTGGAAAGGAAAGAGCATCGTGTAGGATAGCATATATACTCTGCTTCCTGCTAGGCCCTGCATGCAGGGACACTGAGGTGACAAGCAAGAAACTAACCAGAGTGGTTACGACAGGCTGGTGTAGGGGATAACCGAGGTAGGTGGAGTAGCACTTCTCAGTGCATCCTGTTATACTGCGTGATTTTTTTGAGCCAAGTTAACACCTATTTAAAACAAACAGTAATAAATTGAAAAAAACAACAAAACAAAAAAGAGTGAGTGATGTGAATTCAGAGGCAAAGAAAAAGAACCCCAGGACTTGGAGGTTTCGAACTTGAGATCCAGCTAAAAAGGTCATGCTGTCCTTGGCTCGACCCCTCAACCATGAGCTGCAAGTACCATCAGTTTAAACGTCTTACTTGTTAGCCACCAGGCGCATAACTGTCCAGTCCTTCGGAAACATCTCTGGGCGGATCAATATCCGGAAGACAGTAAATATCTGCAGCAGGAAATCCTTGGGTAAGAAGGAAACAGACCATTTTATTGAGTCATTGTAACTGTCAGCACGCACACACATGCACATACACGCACACATGCAGACTGCCGCTATTACCATTTCTAAAGCAGTGACAGAGAAGACGGGAACCTTAGTTGAAAACTTGACCCAGAAGGAATCCTTGACTTCCCATTCTCAGCCCCAATCTGTTTCCCATCCTGCCCACAAGCCCCCTGCTCTCTTTCTCATGCACAGTGGACATGACTTTTCGTTTCTTTTCACAAGCTCCAAAAATTTAGGTTCTAGAAATAAAATGGAAAACTAGCAACAGAAGACTAGCAGGCAAATATATTCTCTTTCTTCTAGTCTAGTGTCGTCAACATCAGAACTTTTCGACTCAAGAAAACTGTACACAGTCCTGGCCCAGTTCTGCTTTCCTTTAAGTGGTGTCAGAATTTACAAAGTTATGTTCATTAAAAAGCATCTTATGCAAAAACCCATGTTCCTTAGAGGGCATTCCAAAAATGCAATATTAATGGACTGCGTGAAGTTTACCAGATGGGGTGTGCTAGGGGACAAATACCAATAAGTCAGGCACAGTGACGAGTGCTCAGAAGCCACAGCAGTATGAAGGTTTTCTTTATTTTTTATTTATTTTTCAATTACAGTTGAGTGTTCAGGTATTCTTCACAGAGATGCCATACCTGAGGGCAGTGGCATTTGCTAAGGTGTTATCTTTAACCGGATTACCCGGAAACACTCTTGACAAGAAGCTCCTGACAGACATGGAAATATCTCTTCTTAAAACACTGCAATACCTAGGGCCCAGAACGCTACAGCACATTATACTTAAAAAGGAATCAGGCAGATAACACACCACGTGTAATGGATGAAATGGCACTTGTCCTCTCAAAAACAGATGGGCTCAATCCAGCTGTGACTTCGATTTATTAACTAGAATACTTATATGTTGTTTTTGGTTGTTTTTTTTGTAACCTTAAGTGCTGCTAGGAAAATCTCTAACAACTTGAAGGCAAGAGCATGGTGTTACTTAAAAAATTAAAAACCACAAGAACTTTATTTATCAAACCCAACAACACATTATGTTAAACATGTAAACCACTTGAATATAAGATTATGGTTGTCACTCATCACCAGAAGATAGGAAGACAGAATCTAAAAAAACTAAGAAACATGTGGTGGGGTGTGAGTGTGTGTGTGTGTGTGTGTGTGTGTGTGTGTGTGTGTGTGTGTGTGTGTGTGTGTGAGCATACTTTAACAACTCTGATCAAGCCCATAAATATTTTGACAAGAATTTGTTTTGGCTTCTTTGGTATCAACAACACATATGTTGACATGTACACACCATGTGGACATGTGCCCACCAGGTCATCGGTTCATCAGTCTTTAAAAGGCCAGACAGACCCTGCCACGTCTAGACAATTTCCCAAATGTGTTCCACTGCAGGTCAGATAATTTGGGGAAATACCTCACATTCTAGCCCTCCCTTGGGGTAGGTAAATCTGAGAAGCCTTTTCAATGAATTTCTAAAATTTACTCTAAATGGGTTTTCAGTTGATTCTTTTGGGTTTCCCAGACATGAATACATGTAACCCCTGCAGAAACGGATGCTTGCGTATACTCCACCTCAGTTTCCTACCTTGCTACATTTACTTAGATAGATATTAAAGAAGAACGAAAGTAGGGAGTCATTTGTTTTTCACAGTCCACAATTAGTTAGGAATAGTTGAAATAAACTCTGTGTACTGAATTTCCATCTTTTCTCCTCAAAAGTTTTAAAAGAATTGGAAATTGAAGGGAGTGCCCTTAGCGATGTGTGTGTGTGTGTGTGTGTGTGTGTGTGTGTGTGTGTGTGTGTGNGCGCGCGCGTGTGTGTGTATTTGTAGGCAGGGGGGTTGTCACATCAGTTGCACAGAGAAAAAAATGACTGAAAGAATTGGCTAAGGAAGCAAGACATCCGTTTTATGGGCCAGCAAATGTGGTAGTTGTTTTGTAATGCTGGGGACTAAGGGACAGTTATTCCAGGTTTGGTGTTTTCCTGTTCCCCTTAATCTCAAAATAAATGGCAGCCGGTGACATCGTGCCAATACCTATGTATTAATGTAACATTTTACTTCCCCCAGGAAAACTTTTTTTGTCTCAAGTAGTTTTCGAAATATCCATTCGAGCTTCATCTACCTTTCTAGAACCAAACACATTGATGTGCAGAAAGCTTATAATGAAAATAAGAGAACAACGTACTGAAAATCAGAAAACCTAGATTTTAATCAGGGCTGTGCAAGTAACTAGCTTAAATACCATGGCAACTTATTTTAACCTCTTTAGACTTGAGCTCTCGGAATGGGAAAATGTGGGGGCTTCCAGGTCCCTTGTAGTTACAGGAGATAAAAAAAAGTTAATATGATCTTTATCTATTCATGTGGTACACAAATATTTTTATTTCTAAACTGTAGGTGAATGTTTCATCAGATGGTCACACAAACACCTTCCACTGGGACATTTCCATAGAGTTTAGTTCAGCAAGTATTTCTCGTCAATTGCTGGGAATGGGTTTCATTTCAAACTCAGTTCCAATATTTTAAAGCACCAAGACCTGAATGCTCAATTTTCAGCGGCCCCATCCTTCTGTTCCCAGATACAGTGGCACTTCTTTGTCCTCTCTAAGTACTTTTCAGCTCTGTTCATATCTATGCAAATATGTGCTTTTGCATAGATACATGAAATTATTTTGCACACATAGTAACTAAGTAACTAACTGTATAGTTTTAAAAAAGAACACTGTTACAATAATATTCTGGTTTGGATAGCCCAAAAAGTATCTCATATGCCAGCATTTTAATGGGCAGCCTCTGAGCAGCTTCTATTTTATTTTATTTACTTCTCTTTTAGTTTATTTCAGATAGCATGACAAGTTAATTAAACTGCATTGCTGGTTATGATTTAAGTAGGGGTTCCAAATAAAAAAACAATCAGGGAGCTGATACTTTACAGAAATACTTTTTCGGAAGTGCAAGAGGTTCAAGTAAGACAGTTCATGTGAAAACCTTCCAAAAGAAAAAACAAAAAAGTCCCATATTCAAACAGAAAATAAAGCAGGAGCAGTCATTATGATTTCAGAAATGACCACTAATGTCTTATTCAGTTATGTACATCGGGTGCTTTACTATGTGCCAGGCTCTGTGCTAGATGCTGGGGACACCTAGTGGGGTAAGATACATCCTTTATTATGCAAGAATACCGGGGGTGCCGAAAAGCTGTACAGAAGTGGACACTCTGGTCAATGTTGCTCAAGCAGTAGTTCGTGATAATCAGAAGTGTCTGGATGCTGATGGGAACCACTTTGAGCACTTCTTGTAATTGCAGACAAACATGACTTGTATTCATCTTTGTTATTGTGATATACTGAGTATTACAATTTTAATAGTTTTTTTCCTTTCTTAGAACGTGTATGTACATTTTTGGCACCCTGTGTGTTTATGGAGCGCCTGCAACATGCCTCAGCACAGGAAGTTGGACGTGGTCTCCACCTTCACAGAGCTCACACTGTTGCGGGAGAGATGAGTGTCCATCTAAAACCACACACATGTATGAACACATTGCCAGCGAAAGTGAGTCTGAGGGCCATGTACTCCACACAGGAAAAAGCGCCTGGCAAGCCTCAGAGGCAAGCGAGAACAGGGGTTGCTCGGACACAGGCAGTGGCAGGAAATAGAGCTGAAAGATCAACAGGGATAAATGATGGATGGATAGATGGATAGAGGGCTGGCTAGATAGATAGATAGATAGATAGATAGATAGATAGATAGATAGATAGATAGATATGGAAAATAAATAGGGACCAAAGAAAAACAAATAAATGAGACATAAATAGGGACAAATCAAAGATAAATAAACCGCATAAAGAAATATAAAGATAAAAGGAAAGATAAAGAAAGAAACCGCATACCTTTCCATGGCAAGCAGATGGAAAATTTATCCTGAGAGCCTTGTGGGGACACAGAAGGGTTTGCTGCAGCTATGCGACAGCCCCCAATTCGTGTTTTACAAGGATTTTCTGACTATCATGTATAAAAATTGTCTTGTGTTTGCACATGATACTGTGATATCAGGACAGCATAGGTAAGAATTAGGCATATGAAACAGCATTGCTGAAACACAGGAAGAGGAATTCTGAGATCGGGAACCTTGAGTTAAGAAATCCAGAAAAGAAACCATCCTGAGGCAGGTAGACAGACCAGGACACTGCTCCTTAAGCCAAGAGCAATGGATGGGACAGTGCCTTCTAAGAACACATTTCCTTTACTTATGATTGAGATTACAGTCCAATGTTATTTTTAAAATTGGCCACGAATTTCAAATGCATAACAGCATTGATACGGGTTTTAAATTCAATTCAAGGGTGTTAATAATCATTATCACACTAAAATGCATATCCTTAAAATTGAATATTTAAGTACATTATGCAAAAATAACTCCTAAATGGTCTTTGATTTTTGAGAGCTACAGAACTATTTTTTCTGTAATAAAATAAAGACGAAGTCAAAATAACTGCACAGAAAAAACAAAGGCTTGTGAAGCAAGCAGACCTTTATTAAGAGGGTTGCTTCCTTCTACAAAGATGAACGTTCCAGGCTCTGTGCTTAGGACACAGTGACACAGTCCCGGCTCTCCCCGAGCCCACAGTCATCAAGAACACAAGGAAACAAATAATTAGGATGCACTGTTTCGTGCTAACAGAGCATAGGGGCGGGCAGCATTCAGTCTGAGAAGGCTTCGTAAGAAAGAGCTACCTGAGCTGGATTTTATAGCGTGCATTGAAAGCAGGGAAGGGATGAACAGGGGTACAAATTAGGCAATGGTGGAGTGGACACTGCATGTAGACAAAAAAAAAGATTCAGAGGAATAAAAAATTATACACACACACACACACACACACACACACACATACACACACAGTGCCAAAAAAAATGTATACACATTTTAAGAAAGGAAAAAAC